AACTGACATCAAAACCAAAAAGACAGGAGTAAGTAAATAAAATAACAAGTCAATGAATGGAAAGAACCCTTAATAAAATTTTAGTAAAGTATAATTCTTCAATACATTAAATATAGGGGAGTTTTAGCTCAGGAATGGAAAATTGATGTAATCAATCAATGAAATTCAACATATTTAAATAATTTTTAAAAATAGGCTCAGGTAAACATATAGATGTTTTAAAGGACAATATTCAACAGCTATGGATGATTAAAAAAAACTTAAACAAATCAGGAATAAAAGAGGATATCCTCATTTGCATAAATGAGAAAATCAATAGAGCAGTAAAAGGAACCCTGCTGCTATCATCCTTCTTTTCATTGTGAAAGATTGAATGCTTTCCCTTTTAAAGTCACAGTAAGGATGTCCACCTTACCACTTATATTCAATATTGTATTGTAGATCCAAACAAGAGCAAAAAGACACAAAATAAATGAAAGGAAAGCAGGTCGAAAGGAAAAGTGATGAGTTATCTTTATTTGCAAGTAGATTGTTCAATTAGTTATGTAGAATCTCCTAAGGAGTCAAAAAAGCAAAACAACAATTCCTTTGTTTAGCAATATTTCAGTTTTACATGGTCAAAATACAAGAGACAGTTTTATTTCTGTATGTCAGCAAAGAATAACTGGAAAATTGAAATTTAAAATAACATCACTTAGAATGATATCAAAAGACACTAAAATACTTGGAATGAACTTAACAAAATAAGAGCAAGACCTGAGAACCAAAAACTCAAGGAAAAGGACCTGAGTAAAAGAAAACATGTATGATACTAACAAACTCAGTATTTCACCCCAGAATAACATGTAGATTCAAGGTAATGCCAATCAAACATTTTTTAGGTCTGTTTTAAAATTTTTAAATCAACAAGCTATTTTAAAACTTATCTGGCAATCCAGCAAATATAGAAGTGTCAAAAACTCTGCTTGAAAAAGAGGTATAAAGTTAGAAGACTCATACTAGTCAATATAAAAATCACCATTTACTTGGGTCTAAGCAGATTAAAATGAAGAAAAAATTTTTCCTCCAAAACTCCTTTTAAGTTCTCTTTTCTGATACTTACAGGTTCTACCACCACACCAAGTTACCCACTGCCATCAACTGAAACACCCAAATTGAACATTTCTTAGGCTATGAAAGAATTTGGTGTCACCAATTACAACCGAGCCAAATCATAAGAAGTCTTAGGCTATTCAGTCAGCGTGGCACACATTCTAAGAACTAGAACAATTCCTTCCATTCCTTCTGTGCTTTTATTCCTGAACAATTTGCATATTCCCTACTCCACCTTTCTACTGCTCCCTGCCCTATCTTTTTAAAATTGAAGTAACCCTGCATTGTAACATTCTATGGTTTCAGGTGTTCACCCTTGAGAAACAACATGCGTCCACATTAAGGTCACTGCTTTAAATCCAAGTCCAACCTTCGCCACACTACTCTGGACATCAGTTTCTGCGTTTTCTCCAAATAAGCTGAGCGTGAATCATTTATTACCTGGGCCCATCCACTTTTTCTTATCAGCTGGAATTACTAATCTTGGCTAATAAACCCCTGGGCTCTGCTGCAGGAAATCTGACAGGCCCATGCCTTACTGGCACATGCCTCTTGTTTCTGAGCCAAACTACAGTATGGTATTTCACTCTGGCTCAACTCTTCAAGAACTCACACCCCTGTTTCTTTATTTTGTTGTTCTTACACTTTAAAAAGTTCATTTCCCTCAAACTTTATAAAAATCAGGAAAGCCAGCATTTTTTCTATATATTAAAACAATACTTGATAACATTAACCCTTTATTCTCAGTCCAATCCCTTTATTCTCAGTCCACAATCCTTTATATAGCTAGGCATTACTGAAAAATAAGTGATGAAACCTTCACAGAGAAAGATCAGTCATTTAGAGGCTATCGTTCCCACTGCAAAATGTTAAGTGAGAAAGATTATAGAGAACTAATTTTAAACTGTGGAGGAACTTTATAACAGAGATACACTATTCACTGAAGTAGTTGCCTTTCTAAAAACTGGTCAACATTGGCCCTCCCTGGTGGCTCAGCGGGTTAAAGCACAGCACTAAGAAGCTAAAGCCACTTCCACATGAGTTCGATTCCCACCTGCCCCGGAGGTGACCACATGGCGTGGCAGACCTCTCCTGACCCGTCCGCTGCTCCCCTCAGCAGTATATTTCGTTGATCTGCCTGTTTTGCTCCCTACTCTGTCTCTGGTGAATCCTCTCACCCTCCGCATCTCTGGCCTGTACCCCAGCTCTATGTGAATAAATAAATAAAATCTTTAAAAAAAAAAAAAAACTGGTCAACATATAACTAGATTTAGGAGAAGCTGCAGTAACCATACAGTATCTGTATAGTTATATATAGTGAGATTACTTTTAAGTTATATAGATTTCTTTATAATAATAAATCCATAAATTTCCCTCTACTGTAGACTTTGTTAAACCTCATTACTTATACTTTGACGACAGATATAATTATATTTCTCCTTAATAAACAAAAAGAAAATTCCTGTATCTTTCTGCCATGTTAAGTATAGGAGTTTCTTTTAAAACAAAATACTGATCTACTTAAATAATAATGGAAGTTGAAATTTACAAAATGACTTCATAACAGTAAATAGAAACAAAACAGTAAGAATTTGAATTAGATTATTATATCCCACAATTTCTGATTCTTTCATTATCACAAAAAAGAGCAATTGAATTTATCAACTGTTGGCATATTTGTGATGATTAAGTTCTTACAGCAATGAAGACATATATTAGTGAAGACCCCTCCAAAATGAATTTTTAAGTAGTATTTCCCATAATAGATTAATACCTTTAAATTATATTTTATCATTGGGAAATCTCTGATGTACACTAATGGATTTAAAAATCTAATTAACTTCCCCACACTGATGAAACTTGACTTACAACTTTTAAGTACATTTGGTAAGTTTGAGAAAGCGGAAAAGTATTCCATATAAGAGTCAGAAATGGCAGGAAACATTTTTTCTTATTCCCTTTCCATTATTTTCCCCAGAAACTTCACCCCAGAAGGGTGAAGTTAAAGCATAAATGTATAGGGCCCTCCCTGGTGGCGCAGCCAGTTAAAGCACAGCACTCAGAAGCTAAAGCCACTTCTAAATAAGTTCCATTCCCGCCTGCCCCAGAGGTGATCCACATGGCGCAGCAGACCTCTCCTGACCTGTCCACTGCTCCCCTCAGCAGTATACTTCACTGATGTGCCTGTTCTGCTCCCCACTCTGTCTCTGGTGAAGCCTCTCATCGCCCCTTGGCCTCTGGCCTGTACCCCAGTTCTGTATTCACAAATAAATAAACCTTAAAAAATAAAAAATAAAGGCATATCTAAACCTATGGCAATTTAAAACCAATAATTTCATGTTCTTTAACATATAAATGAAAATTATAACATATAATGAAAATTTTATGTAAAATCCTATAGAATTGCATTGAGAATTCTATATTTTGCCTAACAATGTTGAACGAAGATAAAAACATAACTATTCATATTTCAACTTAACATGTCATTTTTCCTATGAGTCAACCAAATAAAAGACATGAATTGAGGTGCATTCTAAGTTAAAGGCATTATAAAACACTTAATAATAAACTCCCAGTTAAATAAACTAATCCTAGAGAGTTTAGCATATCCCACTGTATAAAAAAAAGAGAAAAGCAAATAATTCCAAGTAGTTCAACAGAATTAATAGATGAAAAGATTTCATTAAAGATTAAGGAAAACAAAAAGGCTTGTCATTTTAGAAAGTCTGACAAATTTGGTAGTAGAGTAGAAAAATGTACAATTTCCTAGAGAAGATTTAATATAGAAAGAAACAACATTCTAACTACAAAAGGGGAGCTGGTTTAAAAAAAAAATGCTTATTCCTTTTCCAAAGAGACCATTTTCTAAGTTAGCTGTCAGAAACCAATCAACTGAAGGACTTCTCAAATAACTTAAAAAGTTGCTTAAAAATCGCTTGAAAAGTTTCACTACAAGTATTCCTTAGCAAAATATGGTACACATATTAAAAGTAAGCACTTTTTCATGCTATAGTATTTCCTGCCTTTCCTTCATCCCACAGTTATTTAGAGGACCCCTGGCATATAATTAAGCATTGTTCTAGTGCTAGGACTATAGTATGAACAAAATGGACTAAAATCCTGGCCAATGAGGAACTTATTTTCTAGGTGAGATAAATAACCTATACGCAAAAAAGAAGTAAAAGGCATAATGCATATATTCCATTACTGCCCCAGTGTCTTTTTGCTGTAACAGTGTCCTTCAGTACCATGCCATGGGATATAGTTTACATAAATTATGTGATAAAAGCCTTTTGATATTTCAGATAAACCCTTTTGGCTCAGACCTAAGGTACTTGTGTCTTAAAAGGATTACCATAATAGAAACCAGAGATCACCAAACCTTTTTCATAATGAGTCACATATAATATTTTTAAGTGTTGTAGGTCAGTTAGGTCTGGATTTCATATTCTTCATTTCTCTAAGCTCTTTAAAATATAAAATCACTCTTACCTGCAGGCCACACAAAAAAAGACCAGAGACTGAATCTGGTCCTTAGCCACAGCACTCACTCCAACCCCAGCTAAAGGCAACTCAGTAACTTCTGTTAGGTGTCTACAAGCAGGCTACATCATATCCCGCCCCTTACCACCCCCCAAGATACACACACATTTATTCTTTTTGTATTTATTATTCATTTGCCAAAATTCAATAAAACATTCTTTCCTAGAGCTACAATATTCAAAATACCACAGCATCAAAGTCAGTTTTTGAAGAGCAGTGACACTGGCTCTATTTCACACAAGCCACAGAAAACTTCCTCGCAGATTGCCTCTCCTAAGTCTACCTGCCTAGGAGAGATACGGGGCAAATGGATATGCTCTCCACAGTCTCCTGGGAACACACACACAGGGCCAGTGTCTACTTACCTTGCTGGAGGTACATCAATATTGGAAGAAACAACTTTTCGTTTTTGCTCAAGAAGACAGATGGAGCGAGTATTTTCTTTTTCATGGTCAAGAGCTCGGTTGACCTTTTTGGTGTCTGCTGTTTTCACATCTTCCTCCATGGCCAAGGGGAACAAGTGTTGGTGAGATGTTTTTTTACTAGAGTCATGTTTTAAGTCCTCTGGTTGAAACGTGAAGGTCATTTCCCGCTTAATGCTTCCCACCTGTAAAAAGAAATACAAATTCTTACACTCACAAAGCATCAGTTTTGCATAACTTCATACAAATGGTCATGAGGAGACCCCAGACATGCTTCTTCCTGTTCACCATCAAGGACTTTTAGTTTGAATAGGGAAAACGTAACAGAGAAAGAAAATAACTGACATTACAAAGCAGTGTGCAATTGTTATATCATAACTCAAACAAAAAGCAACATAAATAAAAGAAAAGCTTGGAAGAAATGAAAGCATAAGATTTTAAAAAATATCTAAAAATTTAAAACATTCTGATTTCTTCTTCTACAACATAAATAATAAACAAATTCTTAAATAGTTCATGTTAAATCTTTAATAAAAGAGAGCTATAAATATAAAAACAAACCTTATTATACCTGTCATGAATACTGACCTCAGCCATACTCTAGTTCATGAAGAATATTTTTTATTCTTTTTCTAAGCTGTTATGTTCTTAAAGAAATCCTTTCAATAGTATGATGATAAAGAAGTTGTATTAATTTTTCTTATCATTTTTAACTAAATTCAGTGATTACTTTTCTAAGATAAATTTAAAAGTGAAACATCTGGGTATTGAATCCAATTATTTCAGATTTTGTGGTGACTGAAAATATAAAATGTAAAAGAAATGTTTATAAGATGATTGGAATTGTACATAGATTTGGAGCAAACCTCTTAAAATCCTAAGCATACAAAGAGGCAGACTATCTGGTAACCCCCGAGCCTCACTAATCAGTGAAGTATGTTTCAAAATATACCTGCATGTAAGATATTTCACTGATCTATATACAACAGTCCAAACTGCTCATGGAGTTACTGTGGAATCAGTAAATCTTCACTCACCCACTTAGGTAGAAAACATGTTTGTTTCTTTTTAATGTTAGGTATGAGAAAAAGCACAAAGAATTTGATCAAACAGATGTAGATTTATAGAAGCTAAATTAGAGATTATAGAAGCCAAGTCCACAAACATAAGACATTTTCAGAAAAAAAAAAGTGAAAAGTTTATCAATAAGAGCCAAAAACTGATTAACTATGCTGTTAATGACTAGAAATTCTCTGATGAGAGCAATTCGGGAGAATTGAGGATTACACCTTACCTACCCACCTATGCACCTATGGTGGAGCCAAAGGAACCTGCCCACTTATGAGAATTTCTGGAACACAGGTTGACTGGTGCCTTGGAACCCACTTGACTAGAGGTACCTTTCACCTGAACACAGGGCTTAAACTGAGCTCTCTTCTCTCTGCAGCTTGTATTTGTCTTTCTCCCCTGGTCTTTCTGTCAGAACTAAGCTATGTCTTCTCTTTAGTAAAATTGCCAGCCACTTTTGTTTTACTTATTGTACATTAAATGTTACCATATTTCTTAGGATGCATTAATGAAATAAAACAAAGTTCCAAGAAAAATGTGCCTGTCTTGAAATGCTGCTTTGATGTTATCAATACACTACAGAAAGGGATAGAAAACATTTCACTTCCTAACATACAATGGATGCTCAACAAAAATAGTCTGGAAAATCAAGCTAGCAAGCTGACCACAGATGTGAGGCACACAGCAAGGGGCAGGGAGGAAGAGGGCTCAAAACAGGGGATTGAAGCGCACAAGAAAATACGGTGATGGTTCATAGGTGCTGGGAGAGGACTACACTTGAGGAGAGAAACTGGTTACCGTACAAACAAAAATGAACAACAATAAAAGAAAATTAAAAAATAATGAAACATCTAAAATGAAAAAAAAAAATAGTTTGGAAAATCAACAAACGTAAAAACAATAAACTTAAATATTTATCCCCAACGACTTTTCAAGTAACTTTTTCTGTGGAGGTGGGAGAGGAAGAACTTTTTTTCATCCTACAGCAGCTCATTCTTACCCTAGGTTACAACGGGAACACTCTAAACACCAGGCCTAAGGGATGATAACAAAAGCCTAGTTTTGATGATTATAAATAGTTTCTCCCTAAGTGTCAAGCATTACATTAATTAAATATTTAAACAGTCATTAGTATTAAGTTGTAACAATAATTGACATCCATATCTCCCTAGGAGCCAACTAAACTGATTAAATTAATTCAATCCCAAAAGAGATGGGGTTGGGGGAGACCCTCACAGGAAATTCAGCTTTTCGGTTCAAAATTTAGAATATAACTACTAACATCAAAGCAAATTAATATAAAGTAGAATAAATTTCCTAAAGAAATTATGTTATAATTGTATGTCATGCATTTTGCCAAAACTTCATAATAAAATAAATTACAGTAACATTCAACAATGTAAGCCATAAATCTTCTATAATACATTCTAAACAAATAATTAATCTCTCAAAAAAATTAATCAGGGAATTTAGCAATGTAATGAATTCCAAAGAGTATTTAGTTAGCCTAGCCTCTCATATTAAAATGGACTTAAAATAAATACAAATGACCAGAGGAAAATAAACAAATAAACAAAAAACCCTACAGAAATGCGTAAGAGATTTTAGACATTTTGAATCATGGGTTCCACTGTTTGTAAGGCTGGTGGAAGAAGCAGGTGTGATTATTCATTACACCACCATTCTTTAAAGTTTACATATATGAATTACATGCTCATTTACAGTTCTTTTTATTCATATTAGATATTTTAAAGAAAATCTTTTAAAAGGAGAGGTTACAAGATGAAGAGAGTAAAGAGTATAAAAGTCAAATTTGAAGAGACTGGGCTCGAAAATAGCACAGAGAAACAGGATGGTGTGGGCACAGCATGTGGGAAAAGAAAAAATGTTTTCAGATGAAAGATAATAGAGATGCTTGAATGCTGAGAAAGAAAAGAAAGGGATGAGCAGGGAGTTGTGGCATAGGGTAACTGGTACACATTAGCTGACTAACAGAAGAAAGCAGTTAAAGAAAGCCAGCATCTCATTTACATGAAATATCTACAAAAGGCAAATTTATAGACAGAAAGCAGACTAGTGATTACCTGGGGCTAGAAGTGGGAGTAGGAACAGTTTGCAAGTGGAAACCAGAGAACTTTCAAGATGATGCAAATGTTCTAGAACTAGATTGCCATGGTATTTGTACAATGCCATAATTTTTTTAGAAATCACTAAACTATATTCTTACAGTAGGATTAATATTATGCTACGTAACTTATATTTCAAAAGTATTGTTACATTTCAAAAGTTTGTTAGTCAAAGAAAGAAACAAAGAGCAAACTAACAAAAACAGATGTAACTAGTACAGAAGTTAGGTTTCCAGGCACCTCTAGATCAGAAATTTGGAAACTTACAAAACAGGTAGACACAAAGCCTGTAAGTCTAGCTCTTCCTTTTAAAACACAGGTGGGTAGGAGCCCAGCCTGCTTATAGCCATTGTGTGATCATCCCTTACACACTAGTAAAATGGGTCTAAATTCAATCCCCACTCAAGCCAGGTCCCAGACTTTTCATTGGTGGAAGAGGGACATTTTTGTATTTCATCTGACTAAAAGGGGCACTCACTTACCACCATACCCTACTTCCCCACCCCAGCACCCCCATTTGCAGCATGCGACAAAAGGAAACTGTTCTGGGGGTCTATAGGAACTGGGTTATATTAGCTCCTTTCCTTGAAACTGGCATCAAACAATAATGTGACTCATAGTATCAATGGATATTTTTGTTAGTGAAAAGTTAAGGGAGGCCCTCTCTGGTGGTGCAAGGGGTAAAAGCACCAGCTGTGAAGCTGTGAAACTATCCGCAGCCACTACAGCACAAGGAGATCCTGTTCCAGGAAGCAAGGCCTACATGGCCCAGCAGACCTCTCCTGTCTCACCTGCTCTCCCCTCAACACTGTATTTCAGTACATCTGCCTGTTCTGCTCCTTAATCAGTTTCTGGTGAATCCTCTCACCCTACCTCACCCCACCCCACATCTGGCCTGTACCCCAGTTCTTGTATGCATAATAAATCTTAAAAAAAAGTTGAAGTATTCTGAGAAATCGTTCTCAGAAGGAGAGCTACAGTTCAGAAGGAAGGAAAGGACTCAACAATAGAAGACAGCCAAAAAGAACTACAACAAAAAGTCTGCTTGGATGTAGAAAAATCAACAGCAGCACCGATGTTCTAAGTACAAAAGGAAGAAGAAGCAGAACATGCACAGAACTAAGTAACATGTAAGGATGTTCCACTCCATTGTAAAGTGAGATCTGTCAAGGAAAAAAATTGCTTTGCACAGCTGTGGGCTTCCATATAAGAAGCAGGAATAGAACAGCACAAAAGAAGACAGCTTCCCCCTTGTGTGCTATACCTATGTGGCGGGGGAACAGATGTGGCTATTTGAAAATTGTGCTTATCTTTCTCAAGCCTGGATCATTTCCAAACTTCTTGCTCACTACAAATCATCAGTTATGAATGGATTAACATTGCAGAAAAAACAAAAACAAAAATTACTCCAATAATCTTAAAGATCCCTCCAGGTTAAGAGAAAATTTTTGTAATTTCTAGTAGGATTTTGTTGTAACACTCAAAGCTTTAGAAGGCAAAGGAAAACACTGGAAGCTAATAACTGTCTGCGCAAATAGCCAAAGATGATTATTTGATTCTCTACCTCAGAAAGATGGACTTTTCACAAAACAATATGAACTTTGTGAGATCAAGAATTTTCTTGTCAGGTGCTTTAATGTAAAGCAGTTATATTTAATTAATATATTTAAATGGTTTAATCTATGATTTGAGGAAAACATTCAAATGAAAGCACTAAGCCAGAAGTCCTGCACGACAAAATCACAGTAAGACTGTGGACTGACAATTTTCAGGAGAGAATACAAGACAGAGTCTCAGGAAAAATCTAGTCTGAATTTTGTCTCCTGGGGAAGGATTAATAGACCGTACACCACTCCGATGAGACTGGAAGTAGAAGGCAACAGCATTTGCTTGTGGTTGTTGCATTTCAAGAGGTTTATTGGCAAATAAGAAGCGGCACTGTTGATGGGGGACAAAGGATCTTAGTGGGGA